ACAACAGTGTTTTGCTTTAAAAGCCGGAATTGATGGATTTTTGGATATTGCAAGGAGAACCTTCTGTGATACCAGTGAAGGTGAACCAAGAATGTGTTTCATTTTGTATTATCACTGAATTTCCCTTTTACAAATCTGTTCTGCTAATCTGAATCTTGTAACCACTGGCAGCAATACATAATTTGGCCAGTAAATATCGTGAGGAATTCAACTTGCCAAATCTAAAACTCCCTTTCAACAACCGGCAGGGCTTCTTTTTCAGAATTCCGCAGAAGGATGTTCAGGGAAAACTTCCAAGCAAGTTCACTCAGGTCATAGACGCACTTCCCTTGGAAACTTGATATTCTATCTATATGCTTTTCCTGACTTTATTTTTCTTGACCTGGAATGTAATCCAGGTTGTAAAACATGGGAAAAACATACATTGTTCGAGTCTGGAGCTAGCTTCTGTAAGTTGAATCAACATTCCACAATTTCCTATGCCTCGTTTCCTTGTCTGATTCTCTTGGTACTTAATCATTTCAATGTTAGCAGTTCAGGAACTGATATAGTTCAGGCTCACATTATAGCTACCGATACAAAGTTTAATGTTTGCTGCAAATGATATTAAACGAACAATACTCCCCTCCCAAGTTTTTAATACAGTGAAAACTTGAAACACCATGGATCTTTTCAATATGAGAAGAATGAGCCCTCAAATCTAGCTCAAGTAGCAGCTATGTTCATGATTCACGAACCTAGATGCATTGTTTCATTAATATCTACCGTACATTGATCTATATGTGCAGTTGAATGTCAGGAATAAGTCTGCTGCTGGAGAGTGTTATGTTCGAACGGAAACATGCTTGGAAGGTTGATATTTGCACATTGCTTGCAACTATAAGCATTAACACGTTATATTACATAGATTTATATTCCTATCAGGCTTGTTTCCTTTATGGCTGTTACTTGAAACACTTTCCGTTTGTACACAGCACTAATGGATGCCATAAGGGAAGATGTATCTGCCCTCACACTCCTAGCAGAAGTCTTATGTCTGCTAGATATGATTGTTAATTCATTTGCTCATACAATATCCACAAAGCCAGTGGATCGATACTCTAGACCTGAACTAACAGGTAGCTGATTCTCCAATTATTATTCCTCAATCACTTACCATCGTATCCTCCCATATTTCTTTGCTCTAAAGAAATTCTTGACTGGTATAAGCCTCTAATAATAAATAAGAAATAGACTGCCGAATATCTTTTATACACTGCACCTTAAGTGAAATGATTGATCAGCGTTTTGTGTAGAATTTACTTGTCTATTTATCTTTTGGCAGATAGTGGCCCACTGGCAATTGATGCTGGAAGGCATCCCATCCTAGAAAGCATACACAATGACTTTGTTGTAAGTTGTTCGTGCTATTTCTCATGGTAATATCATATAGTTTAAATAACTAATTTTGGTAGCAAAGCATAATGGAAAACATTCGATA